CCAGTGAAATATATTTATGTTTGTGGTTGTAATGTGACAAAATATGGAAAAGTTCAAGGGGTATGAATACTTTTGCAAACCACTGTATATATAATCATGGACCTGTTGTCTTAATGCTGAGTCAGCATTGTTGTTTTTCTGTTCTTCATTTTCCCATACGTTTTTATAATATAGCTATTTATACATACTTTGTTATTTTAGCCGTTCATCTGTCAAAACATTCGGCTTATTCAGGACATGACTTTTATACTTTCAAAATAGTTCATTTCATTTACTAATACTTTCATAATAAACACACATTACTCTCTTTACATGCTTCAGAAACTTTGTTCTGAAGTCCGCTAACGTTACTATAGCCAACACTGCTACTGCTCTGACTGCTAGTGCTGCCAACATTACTACAGTTAATTGTGACTAGTGCTAACATTACTACTGCTAACGTTACCACAGCTAATGTCACTAATGTAATGTAATGTAGCTAATGTTACAGCTAATGTTACCACTACTACTGGTAATGTAACTATAAAATAATATTTTGTAAATTTCTGTTTGCAAAATAGACAATTTGACATCATGAAGTTTTGACTCCAGATGTTTTTCWGACTAAATTTTGTTAAAGTTTTGTTGTGTTGAAGCTTCTTTGAGGTGGACTCAGGTACAGGTAGACGCACGATGAATATAATAATTGTCTCTCATCGGGTCAGCAGAACCACCTGATCACTGAGGTCCAAATCAGTGAAACCTGAGGTCATGGAGGGTTAAGTAGGRGGTCGTGGGAGGGCTTTGACTTCAGCATATCTGATTTAATACGCATCACAGCAGCAAATAAACTGAGCGGATATGAAAGGTCAAAGGTCATCCAAAACCGTTCTGTCCTGGTTCTGTTTTAGAACGTTTCTGTAATTTTTCTATTTTATAAACTGTTTCACCTTATTTATAAGTATTGTCTCCAAAGAAATGGGTTTTATTTTAGATTTTTTTTAATCTGCTTCGACAAGCCGACTGTTTTTGTCTTTTTAGGCTACCTTTAGCTTTTAGCTGCCATTCTTTTTTGTTGGTTTTTGTTTAACATAACAAAGTAATAAATAAAAACACACAGAGTGTCAACAACCATTTCACATTTACAGTTTTTAAGATATTACTCCTCCCTAACAAAAACCTCAGCAAAGTGTAAATAAACCAATGAACAGTGAAAAAAAAACATACATTAAAGACGTTAAGAAAAAAAATCTGGGGTTTATACCAAGTTAAACTGATAAAATTGAGAAACATTTGATTGCAGGGGCTGTATTAACTTTTCTTAAAGATTTACCTACTACTCATAGTTTTTAGTTAGCTTTTTGTCATGTTTAGCTTCTAGCTACAGACACTGCTGAGGGTTATTGATGACATTCTTTTAGCCACATWCTCTGGTCACTGGGTTTTGATCACCCGCTGGGAATGTTATCAGTCCATTAAATGGACATTATCAGCTGTTATCAGTCCCATRGAATGGCTTCAGACTGTTAGCTKATTAGTATGAGGCATAAAGCCACTAAGGTTAATTTTAGAGAAAATTACCTGGGTTAGGTTAAAGTAGRCCRGCAGATTGTTGCCTTCTAACATATTAGTAGGTACACAGTCTGAAGCCATTCTATGGGACTGATATCTGCTAATAACGTCCATTTRATGGACTGATAACATCCAAACTGGGTGGTTTTGATACTGTTGGATTCAGAGGACCACCAGATCCTCCTTTCTGGTCTGGAGACCTGGGTGGAGCTTCAGATTGGTTTAACAGAGAYGTTTTTGTTGAGTTCTCAATAACCCAGAGTCTCTCCAAGTAAGGAGAATTCCTTGCTTCCTTACAGGTGTCCTATCTTATCTCCTCCAARTGTCCTCAGTTCTCAGTGAAACCTGAGGTCATGCAGGGTTAAGCAGGAGGTTGTGGGACCTCTTTATTTATTTATCTTTTTCACTTCCTGTTCTGAAGCTTTTTGTTTTTAGGACATTTTAATTTTTAAATCTCTGAGGCTGTTTGTTGGTCTGAAGATCCATTTATAATATTTCAAAGGGATTCAAAAGATACTATATTTTAAAATTTTATTTGATCTAWTTTTTTTGCAGTTTACTTCTTGATTATTTATCTTTAGTTTTAAATCCTGAATATCGTTTATTAGTAAAATTTAAATGCAAATCTGCTGCAGTCTTCTATTTAACCCCTAGATGTCAGAATTTCACTTCCTGTTCAGGTTGAAGGTGCACATTTAAGAAAATATCTTTTACGTTTTAACTTTGCAAACTAAAGTTTTAGTTCACTTTTCTTTAAATTATATTTGATCATTTTGGTTTCTTAAAGCAAAAAATAATTTACTTAACTTTTCCTGTTTTTCTCCTATTTAAATAATTTATCTACATCTTTTTTTTCATAAAATAAACAAAAACAAAATTTAAAACCAGAGAAAAAACATTTTKACTCCTAAAAAGAGAAGCTAACTATTCTGTAATAACAGCTTTTTAGATAAACTTACTGATCCTGAAAGAAACTTCAGACTTCACTCAAACTGATGAAGATGATGAGGATGATGAAGATGAGGAGGAGGAGGAGGATGAAGATTAGGACAATAAAGATGATGGACAGTTAGTCCCAGCTGGAGCTGAAGAGGAGAAGCAGAAAGTTTCAGGGTTGTAAGACAAACGAAGCATCAACCTGGGAAAGTTTCCTCCTGAGTGGACTTCTCTTCTCTGCTGCTCCTCCTCTTTGTCCTCCTCCTYCTCTTCCTCCTCCTCCTGATGGAGMTGCAGCTCTGAAATGTCTCTCCTCAGGAGTTAAACTTTCCCTCCGCTCCGCTCTGAGCTCCGGTTTCAGATGGGATTTCTCAGGCTGGGAGAGATTTGTCCTCAGTGACAGAAGAAAAGTTGGACGAGTTTTAGGTGGAAGAAAAGAGGAAGACGAGGGAGAAGAAGAAGAAGTGACATCAGGAAGACAGACTTGGTGAGTGAACTCAGAAATTCTGTTTTATTTTATTTAAGACATTCATTTTTATTCAAACTAAGTTTTTTAAATCTGTTTCTTTCATTTCTTTGTTTTGCAAATTATATTCTTTAATTATAATAAAATYAGGACTTCTAAAAACAGGATTTTTTTATTTTATGCTGTTCTAAAATCAATATATGTACTTACGAAATAAGTGATTTTAGTTTTTAAACTAAATGTAAAAGTTTATAAAGCAGTTGAATTAATGATTTGAAAGAAAAAAGCTCTAACTGGATTTTAAAACAGTTTTTTTTAACTTATTTTATTTTACAAATAAACCCCTGAGCTCAGTTTCAGTTTCAGCTCGTTTGTATCAGAACAAAGTTCTGAACGTTTAGCTTTTGTTCAGGATGAACAGAGTTCTGAGGGGGTCCATTATTCTGGATGACACGGGGGGAGGATGTCACACATCCCCACCCTCCCAGGGTCCCGTCGGACCATCAGAACCGCACACAGCTCAGGATTTCTGCAGAGGGTTTGACAGATCCAAGGGGGAATGGGGGGTTGGKTTAGTGATCCCCCCCTCCAGTAGAAAACAACAAGTCCACACAGAGACCCCCATGTGGCCCCTGGACTGCAGGTCTGGGGAGGGAAGACCTCAACTAGTTTACGAGTGAAAACAGGAAATAAATAATCTTTTTATTTTTTTATTTGTGTGAAAATTAAAGTTTAAATTGAAATAATCTAAAACATAAAATATCTGCAGTTTAACTTCACGTTTCTGAACCGGGCACTTACAGAC